TAATTATTATATAAATGAAAATTTGAACAAATGGCATGCAATTTAAAATCACCAAAAGTATACTAAAAATTTTCACAAGATTTTCTACTAATTTTCCAGGTTTCCCCCACCGAGCGGCGCATGCCATTTATTTTTTAGGCTGTTATTTCGATGAAAATTAAATATTTCCATTGGCATGCAATTTCAAAACATTAAAAATCAGCATTATTTTTTTCATCTTCAGGTGACTCATTGAAGCATTTGCGCTACTGCGGGGTGCATGCCTTTCATTACAAGACTTTCAATACGCTTATGTTTAAATGGCATGCAGTTACAGATCACCAAAAACCACAAAAGTTTTTCACAAATGAAAATTCGATTTTTCTTATATAGCGGTTTCGAGCGGCGGTGAAAATCATATTTTTGCTTATTGTTTCTGGGTTAATTATCAACCATTAAAAAGGCATGCGGGATAAAATCAGTAGGTAAAACCTGTCACGCCCTCCCAATCTAATAATTTAAAATAAATATTTCTTCATTTTAAGGGCTGATAGGGTAAGAGGTGTGAGGTGTGATTTAGTTCCTTCTGCACTGCATGCAAAACCAGGCTTTCTTACTAGAAGGCAGCTTTGTTACTGAACAACACACTTTATGTTTATACCGAAGACATGAATCACCGTAAGCAATCTTCATGTATCACTTTGTTACATATATCACAAATCCATTTTAGAATACTATTTTGTTTTTCTCCAATTCGTTTTTGTAATCTATATATATAAAACACAGTTGTGTTTTGTGGAAGCACTTATAACTCGAGAACGGCTGGACTGATTTTTATGATTTTTGCTTTATTGGATTTGTCTTTGTCTATCCTAACATAATAAATCGAAAAAATCCAAAAAAAACAAAACAAAAAAAAATATCTTTTTTACTTATTTATGAAAAAAATTAATAAGCCTGCATACGGCGCCATCGCTTATAACCGATACCAAGTTTACCGTCACATTTTCATTGCAAACCATGTGGATTTTATTGTCACACACTTTGCACAAAAACAATTTAAGGAAAGTACTTTACTTTCAATTGTTCTTCACAATAAAAATGTCCAAAAATAAATAGAATTACAATGTTTTAATTGTGTATTTTATTTGTTGTTGGTCCATTCCGAAGACCACTTCCTGTCATTTCTTGACGCTTGACCATTGACGTTCTGTGGCGAAGTTCCGTTTCTCCTATCAGGCATCCCTTGACAGCCGTGTTCCGTGCCGACTGTTCGGAGTGCTCCGTCCGGCTCCAACCAATAAAATTCAGTCTGACTGGTTTGTGATTCCTGCAGAAACAGACTTTTCTCGAATATTATTCTTTGTAGATACTTGCGACGATACTCCTTAATTAGACAGAATTAGAAATAAACATCTATTTTCGGATCTTCAATATTACCACTAAAGATTCGCATTTTCGGACTTCTAATATACAAATTGAAAATCCGAAAATTATCGGATCTTTAGAATGAACACTGGAGATCCGAATTTTCGGACCTCTATCCACTGCCTTGGACAAAAATGTTTGCAGCAAACCTTTAATTGTACAATTATTATTGTATTTGACATAAAAATCGTTATTTTACGAACCCTTAAATCTCTGTCCCAACTTAAATCGTCTTCATTCGGGTTGAGAGCACGTAACTATTGTTTCCTTAAAATTTGATTGCCTGGGAACTTGTGAAAAGGAAGGTTTGACTTCTTTTTCGCCTTATTCTGACAAGATCTCATCAACACATTTGAACCATTGTATCATGAACAGTTTTTGTAATAATTTTTAGCAATATTGATTGATATTGATTGATTATTGAGGTTAGCTTAAATACGTCAGGGTCAGACCGCGTTCAGTAAATCGACGATTTAATTATCTGTCACCCACAAGCGGCGCGCGCAGCACAGGTAAAATGAGAAAGGTCCATTCAATTCCGTGCTAGAGTCCGCTTCAGCAGTGAAGAGTATGGTGACGACACGGAAAGCTGCGCGAAGCGGGTCCGATCTCTCTCCCTCATCTATCTCTCGCTGTTTGCCGTGAGCTGAAACCAGCAGCGGGGTATCTTTTTAGACAAAACTTGGATAGATAATAAACTATAGGTTTTTTATGTTATATTTAGGATGACGTCATCGAACAAGGACAGACAATGTTGCTAATGCCTATTGTTTTTCTTATAATTTACCAGAATGTCATGTGTCAATAATTCGGACGACAGCTAAAAATAACGAAATGAAAATATTCATACAAGTCATGCAACGTCGCGCGCCGTTGCAAAAAAACCATCTGAAATTCCCCTACTGTAAATGCCTTAAAAAGTACTTTTAGTTTTCTTAGGTTGAAAGCAGAAATTTACTAAATGTGACGTCATCCTGAATATAGCGTAAAAATCCTATAAATAAAAATGCCTGCTGGCCGTACGACAATGAACCACGTGCTTGGCGTTCGGCAGCAGCACCGAACAATACGATAGTTCGGTTAGTCTTCAAAATTGGGTTTGTGCGCATTTGACGTCACCGTACTCTTTACTCTTGACGCGGACTTTAGCATGCACGCCGACTCCGGAATGCAAGCTTGCAAGCTGCAAGCTTTTTCGATGCGTGACGACTTGTGTTATGCGCAGTACAATAAATTACTATTACATAAATTGACAGCATTGAGGGTGGGTATCAATTTTCCAGCATGCGTGCCAAAGAGCCGGTTCGCTACCAGATTGATTGAGAATGTAGCTTAAGGGGAGTATAACACAATTGACACATAACATCTGAGCATAATCAGATTATGTTTGAATATGCTCGCGAAAAATTGCCTTATATACCGGGTGTCTACGAGATCAGTTTCGCGCTGGCATTTGCTGTTTTTTTTTTCGATGGCAAAGATTTTTGGTATGAAGTGTAGGTTTGAGAAATGTCATCTTTTGGCATGTGTGTCAATGTTTGGTAACTTCCGGTTTGACCGGAAATGGTCCTAACTCCGTAATTTTGAATGGCATCCCAATAATTTTTTCACATTTTTGGTATCTGCGGATCATGATGTGTACGAAAACGTCAAATTTGAACATTTTTGAAGAAATTTCAGAACTCTGGATGACATTTTTTTTTTTGAACAGGAAGTGACGGAGCGGTCTTGAAATTGTTATTTTCATCACAATCGTAAAAAAATGCCAATGCCAAGTTATTATCCTATGCTTGTTCTCCAAAGGCTTACAAAGCTGAAAAAATCACATTTTACGTGATAACTCAATGAAATCAGTGAAATCACCCGACTTTCATAACAAATGTTTTTTACCTTTTTTAAAATAAAACCAACTATGCATCAAACTTTTTTATTCATGTCAGTTTTTAATTATTTTTCCAATATTTTTACTATGCATTACTATAACTGATAAAACTACTTATAATTAAACCCCTGTATTCAAACTTTGTATTTACAAATTCCCGAGATGTCAAACAATGACAAATAAACATATCTTGCCCACAGGTCTTGTCAATGGCTTGTCAAGAAAAAAAAAATCACCAGCTCCTTTTGGAAAGCGTTCTTCATACAGGGGTTCATTTATAAGTAGTTTTATCATTTATAGTAGTGCAATAAAAAAATAATAAGAAAACAATTAAAAACAAACATAAATGAAAAGTTTCAATGCATAGTTGGTTTTATTTTGTATAAGGTAAAAAACTGTTGCTGTGAAAGTTGGGTGATTTCACTGATTTCATTGAGTTATCACGCAAAATGTGATTTTTTCAACTTTGGATGCCTTTGGAGAGCAAGCAAAGGATAACATCTTGGCACTCACATTTTTCTACGATTGTGTGGGTTGAAAATAACAATTTTAGGACCGCTCCGTCACTTTCTGTTCAAAAATAAATTTACATCCAGAGTTCTAAAATTTCTTCAAAAATGTTCAAATTTGACGTTTTCGTACACATCATGATCCGCAGATACCAAAAATGCGAAAAAATTATTGGGATGCCATTCAAAATTACGGAGTTAGGACCATTTCCGGTCAAACCGGAAGTTACCAAACATTGACACATATGTCAAAATATGACATTTCTCAAACCTACACTCTATACCAAAAATCTTTGCCATCGAAAAAAAAACCAGCAAATGCCAGCGCGAAACTGATCTCGTAGACACCTGGTATAATAGCGGGTGACCTACATTGAAATCTTGAAATTTTTACCAGATTGCTACACAATAATTAAAGGTTCAACTACAATTCCCTAATTTGCCTAGGGAGAAATAGGAATCACATTGCACAATAAAATTATGTCTAAATTTATTGACTGGTTTTATAACATCTAAGCAAGGGCGCGTTCTTTTATTCAGCAATGGATCCATCTGCTGCCACCATTATAAGACAGACATTCCTATTTTCTATGAGCTAGACAAAGAAAGGCTTATTACTGATAGATCCACCGCTGAATAAAAGAAAGCGCCCATATTGTGGCGGAATGACGTTATCGCTTAGAGTCCGTGTCAGCAGTAAAGACTACGGTGACGACACGGAAAGCTGCGCGAAGCGGGCCGGATCTCTCTCCCTCGTCTATCTCTCGCTGTCTGCCGTGACCTCAACCGTGAGCTGAAACCAGCAGCGGGGTATCTTTTTAGACAAAACTTGGATAGAAAATAAACTAAATAAATATGCCTGCTGGCCGTACGACAATGAACCACGTGCTTGGCGTTCGGCAGCAGCACCAATCAATGTGATAGTTCGGTTACTCTTCAAAATTGGGTTTGTGCGCATATGACGACACCGTTTTCTTTACTCTTGACGTGGACTCTACCTACCGATTTTTAAACAAAAACCACCGATTATTTCTCCAAGAATCTCCCGACTTCATTCCGTCAGAAGTGGCAGCACTGAGTAGACCATTCCTATACTACCTATTGTTTCAATAAAGCTTTTTTGAATTTGATTTAACTCCTTGTTCTGGACCATTACCCGCTCTTGGTAAATTAAATAACAATGTTTAAGTGTGAAAAAATATTTATAGATATTACATATATATTTTTTAAAACCTATACTTATTTACAATCTCAACCTTAGTTCAAGTTACTGCAAGTTATGGAAAATGTCCTCAACAATATTAAAAAATTTACTTTGATTGGAGAATATGAATTAAAACTTTTTATAATGATTTTGGCTAGTGTCAATTATTATCTAACATTACATTATACGAAACTATTTTTAATAATATTCCAATGAAATTACAGTATTGCCCTAGTCAGTTACTTTAAGACAAAAACACATTTTAAAATAAATTTTACTTATTCTAGACTTTAAATCATGACTTAAAACTTTCCATTTACATCAAAAACTAAAATAATATGTTTCAATAATTGTCATCTGAAAATTTGTTCAAAAGCTAATAATATAATTTACAAGAACTCTCCGCACCAGTCGTCAAGGCACTGCCAGCAATCCATTGCTTGTTTAGAATTAGCAGAGCATGTATCCTTCATCCATTCTTTGAATAATTCTTGATTTCTCTTCAGGATAAGGAACTGGCCAAGTACTACACATGCCTGAAACAAAAATACAATTTTAAACAAACCTCACAAATCAAAGTACCCTAACCTATTTTTTTAATGTAGTGAGATTAAAGAAAAGCAATATATTATATATGTATTTACCTTCTTAAACTAAAATGAACAAAGGTCTGAAATCGCAGAACTTCTGCTAACAAGCACGAAATATACGAACCATGGCTCAGACAGGAAACAGGAAAAATACAGAACGTTATCAACGAAATGGAACATTTGGAGTTCTGGTTATAAGCGAAATGAGATGCAAATTACAGTGATATTGTAGAACAGAGAATATACTACTCTGGAACTGTCAACAAGTACCTATAAACATGGAGTGGGGGTCATCATGCCCAAATCAACTGCACAAAATGTTTCAAACATTGTGCCTGTAAACGTTCCAGTAAATGTCACTATCGTACAGGTAAATGCACACAAAAGAGAATGAAAATAAAATAAAAATGTCGACGCCGCAATGACATTGTTTAGCACAAAAAAGACAGAGTAATTCACTAACTACTTCACATTTTATGAAAAATACAAGATTTGTTTCATGAGTGAAAAAAATGTACAGGGTGGCCCGTTTATTTCGTCCTATCTCAGTATATGGAAATCTAGATATTTTATGACAAAAAGTTTTACACAAAAGTTGTCAGGTTTATAGTTATTCATGCATCAAGGGAATTATGAAGGTGTCCCGTAGGTATTATCAAATCAAAATCAAATCAAAATATGCTTTATTGTAAAAAGAGAAAAATATCTTGTCTGCAAAGCAGAAAAATACGATAATAAGAAAAATACAATATAAAAATAAACACAATAATAAAATGTCAAAATTTAAATTTACAAACAGCCGTAAGAATCAATGACGTAAGAATAATAAATACAATATTAAAATGTCAAAAATTAAATTAACAGATTTCTTGCATGAATTTTTTTTATTTGCTTATTGGAAAGATCGATATAATATCGAATCCACAGATTTGTAAGTATCGGAATATGGAATCGATTCTCATCCCTATGAAAAACATAACCCAACTTTTTAATTCAATTATAATAATTATTTATTTTTATTTATTAGCCTGTTCAAAACTCCAAAACAGGCAGAAGGCGCGAAGGCACACAAAGGTTGCTCTACCTGCATTTTACTAATACACAATGCTAATACCTAGTGTTGTGTTGTGAGTTTTAATTTTACATTTTTAATTTCGGCACTGAAATAGGTATATAATAACCTATTAAAATTATTGTTATTTTTCTTCTAAGTGGATATATGGGAAATAAAACAGGAGTAAAGCCTGTTTTTTTTTTAAAGATAATTAGGCAATTCAAACCACGTGACATTCAAGATGGCGTGGCGGCCACACATGGGCCAAAAAACACAAAAAAATATCTAGTTTCTGCCGGAATTAATAGTTTAGGTACCTAGTCAACAAATATTTTATTAAATAATGAAAATCAAAGTTGTAAGCAAAACTGTATGCAATAGTTATTTACCTAACAAATGCGGAAAGTGATACTTTACCGCACGCAACGGCAGTTGACCGAACGACGCGAAGCGGAGACTAGGTACCTAAACTATTAATTCCGGCAGAAACTAGATATTTTTTGTGTTTTTTGGCCCATGTGTGGCCGCCACGCCATCTTGAATGTCACGTGGTTTGAATTGCCTAATTATCTTTAAAAAAAAACAGGCTTTACTCCTGTTTTATTTCCCATATATCCACTTAGAAGAAAAATAACAATAATTTTAATAGGTAATTATAAGTATACCTATTTCAGTGTCGAAATTAAAAATGTAAAATTAAAACTCACAACACAACACTAGGTATTAGCATTGTGTATTAGTAAAATGCAGGTAGAGCAACCTTTGTGTGCCTTCGCGCCTTCTGCCTGTTTTGGAGTTTTGAACAGGCTAATAAATAAAAATAAATAATTATTATAATTGAATTAAAAAGTTGGGTTATGTTTTTCATAGGGATGAGAATCGATTCCATATTCCGATACTTACAAATCTGTGGATTCGATATTATATCGATCTTTCCAATAAGCAAATAAAAAAAATTCATGCAAGAAATCTGTTAATTTAATTTTTGACATTTTAATATTGTATTTATTATTCTTACGTCATTGATTCTTACGGCTGTTTGTAAATTTAAATTTTGACATTTTATTATTGTGTTTATTTTTATATTATTGTATTTTTCTTATTATCGTATTTTTCTGCTTTGCAGACAAGATATTTTTCTCTTTTTACAATAAAGCATATTTTGATTTGATTTTGATTTGATAATACCCACGGGACACCTTCATAATTCCCTTGATGCATGAATAACTATAAACCTGACAACTTTTGTGTAAAACTTTTTGTCATAAAATATCTAGATTTCCATATACTGAGATAGGACGACTTGCTTGGCCGCCACGCCACATTGAATTTTCCTTTTTGACAGATGGATTGAATTGCCTAATTCCCCAAGTCAAAAATTTAGTAACTATGTTGGCAAGACAAGCCTTTTCTACATAAAAAGTTTGAAAGCATTGACAATTTTACATTGTATTGCCAACATAATGTCATTTTGAATTTTATCTTTAAAAAAAAAAACACACTTTATAATTTTTATGTGTTTGTACCTAGGCATTCGATACCAGTTTCTCCAAGATTTAAGGCTGGTGTTACCCAACTCCTAATTTCTATTCTTATTTCGTAAAATATTAGCTATCAATTTGGTCCTGTTACCCAGTTACTTATTTTTTTTTTTCGGCCACCAAATATATGAGATTAGATTGATTTTCAGTATTCATGGGTTTTTTATTTTAATAGAATATAGGTTTTTTTTTTCAATATTGTTTTGTTTTCAACCAACACAAAATCACAACAAGACTATGAATGAAGCCCTTAGAGCAGGTGAAGATAAAGGAGTAGGAGTAGTAACATGGAGCTGGAAAATGAAGCCGTTTTTTCCCAGGTATTTTCGCACCAAAAAAATTGTGGTATAGGAATTGGATAAACCACAGCCTCCTACATTTAACAAGCCATGAAGTTAAAAAGGCAACACCGCAATCTTACCGCCAAGTGGTGCTGGTGGTGTTTGTTTGTATAAATATATATTTTTTATTTTGTTAATAATAATGACAAAAAATGCATAATTTATTGTACTAAAGGGCCAAAAACAGTAATTCAATGAATAATTTAACTATTTGTGTGAATAAGAACAGTAAATAATTGATTTAAACGAATATATTTCTAGAGTCTAAAGTGTTATAGGCCTATGTTTCAGTATGTCTTTTGAAAATCTAACTTTTTCTTTCTTCGGGATTTTTTCGGAAGGCAAGTCCATTCAAATACTTGAGCTGATTTTCGAAAATAAGAGGTACCTACTTTTAAGAGTTGGACGTTTTAGTTTGAACTCTCGAACTACACCTTTATCCTTGTTTGTTTCAAATCTAATTATTTCGGTTTCTTCAAAATGTTTACAACACACCACAGAATTTTTCGTTATTGTATAATCTCGGGTATAATTATCTTGGTGTATTGCTTTCATCCACATTTTTTGCACTTCAGAATTTTTTTGGAAATAAAAATGTTTGCATTTCTTCAGTTTTTAAGGAACTCCTAATAGTTCGATTTGCACCCAGGAACACAGTAGTTTCATGGCATCTGGAACAAGTTTAAATATCTTAGGTAATATATCGAGAACTATGCTCTTGCAGACAAATATTAATATTGTTTTTATTGTTTTACCTTACCTTACCTTCATTTTTGCTCCTGTACCCATTTGCTAAAAATTTGCAATCAAAGCACAAAGGAACAGGTATCAACTAAATATGGGCAATATATTGGTGTGTTTCTATCCACTTTTTCGTCAATAATGCCCATAAAAATACTAAATTGCAACAATACACAATGAAAGCAATACACAGAAACACATAACCCAATAACAAAATAGCACCATACGCGACGTTGCCGTCATTTCCTACTTCATGGCTTGTTAACTATAGGAGGCAGTGGATAAACCGATAACGCCATCATTTAATAACACGCTGTTAACCCGTTATGAATTAAGCACTAAGTAAGAAATAAGAATTAGAAATTAGGAATTAAAGGAGTTGGGAAACACCGGCCTAGCTTTTTACATTTTCACAGGCAAAAACATCGATCCCTTTTCCATCCAGTTGTATTTTGCAAGGATGTTTTTAATTGTTTTGTTATGATTTCCGTTTATATTGATTGATTGATTGTTTCTGTTAGTAATGTGATTTGCTTTGTAAAATGGTAAAACTGTGAAATTTGATTAAAATTTTGTAAACTAGCGTCTATTTGCTAAATAAAGGATTATTATTTTCTTCAAACTACACATAGGGTGACTCCGGACAAAGTTTACTCCGGATTACATTTTCTTCAAACTACACATAGGGTGATAGACCGGTGCATAACGACCATTTTTTTGAAACGATTTTCTCCCGTCTGCCATTAAGGAGGGTTATTCCTTATGCAATAAGAAGTGGAATGGCTGAAATTTCAAAGAGCCCCGCGTGTGACAATACAATGATATGCTAATTTGAAAATGTAATGAAAAGTGTTAGTTTGGGTTAGTTTGCATACTTTTGGTTAGTTTGGGTTACAGTTCGTTCAATATTTACTGGTTATAAGTGTACTGGTTAAAAGCAAAGCGCGCGAAACGCGTTTTTGTTTTTGTTTTTCTTAATTCAATATTAACTTACAAGGACTAGTACGCATTATGTGGACGGGTTATTTTGGGTTAGATGGCATATTTTTGGTTAGTTTCGTTATAGTTCGTTTTACTGGTTATAAGTGTACTGATTGACAACACAGTTTACATGTTTACATTAGTTTGCAGATTTTTGGTTAGTTTCGTTACAGTTCGTAAAACCTAAAAATAATTTAAACCTAAAATAATTTAAATTAAACCAAAAAAATTGCTTGTCTATTGCCGCCATATTGTTTTCTTTTGCCGGTTGGATTATCAATGTCATTC